GAATTGCAGACCGGCTGAACCTTTCTATTTGCAAGCCCTTGGTGAGTTATCTCGGTTATGTGAAAGGTCTTCTTAAATATCAATCTCATACGGATAAGGTGATCCATTAGAGCTTATCCGAACTGACCTGAATTAAAAAACGCACAACGACTCGAATCCAGGTGAGCCTAGACAGAAAGAGGATATGTTTATTTGCTTACCACACATTTTTTTCTATTATATTCACTCCCTTCCTGCTCCGATTTTGGACACCTCATATGAGGCTTGCGTTGGCTCGCACCAATGTATAGATATTAAAAGCTAACTAAGCTATTGAGATGGGAACATTTCCGTACAAATGCCGTCTCCAAGCAAGCACTGCCCGAAATTCTTTCTAAAGAATTTCGCACCAGAAAAGTTCGCATGAAAAAGCCCTGTTCATGTAGCTTTTCCTACTAGAATTACGGTAGATGTATCAGCAAGACGTTGTCGAGTTTGCTAATGTTGATACACAGTACGACACATTTAACATACGGAAATTCCTGCAGTTACGCACCACATGACGTCTTGCTGTTGTAAAATTACTAAATCAGTTGCTAAACCTGATCCTTAGCGTACTTCCATAACAAAATGGGAGTACTGACGTGAATGGGGACCGGTCACCGAATAAGAGGTCAGACAGGGACAAGAGTCTAGCTTTAGAACAGCCTGGGAAATAAAACCAATTTATTTTGAACACTGGAAGTAGGTTTAGATTCATTGTAATGATCCCGCAAACTGCTGACCTATTCACATGTTATGACGGATTTGAACACTGTATGCCAGCAATGGTGACCAGAGGATATCTTCTGCTGGATACAATCAGAATTGGGATTGGACTCTGTTGGAAAGTGGAGGCCATCCTTAGGTCTTTCTGAGGACCAAGGTTTCAAGGTTTTGTGCACCTTTCGGTTTTGTACATACTGAGCGTTTGTTTTTTTCGTCATTTTGGTTGTCCTTTCCGACTAAAACTACGGCTTCTGGAAAGATGCAACTTCTTTCAGGCCATTTGGTGGTTACCAAAAGCAACATTCCATGAAGATGTCTTCTGTGACTTGGGGACTATATTAGTGTGATTACGTTGAAAAAATACTACATTTTGAAGTTTTTATTAAGCTAAACTTAACTCTGATTGTGGATAACCTGTGGGACACTCTGTGCATCGGGTATGCTCTAAGAAATCACCAAAAGTCAACAGAGGAGCCAGACCTGAGCTGTGTCAAAGACAGCCGCCCAGTTTTTGCATATTGGATGCGATCAGTCCCAGTGAAACTTAACTACGAGGGCACTTATCCCTCTTTCACTAGTGCCGACAACGTTGTCAGGGTCCGTTCCACGGTTGTTTTACCGAATGTTCAGTGGCGGACTTTACCTCCATATTCATCTGGGTATGTGACCTTTATTTATGCGACGAACTACTACTGACCCGAGTAAAAGCCCCACGCTTTATGTGACTGAAACCGATTAGACCTTCCGTATACATTGGCTGTTTTTGGAACGTTTGTGTGGAGCTTTTTTACGGTGGTATCTTGATGCGAGTAAAAACACCCCAGTACTGAGGATGTTCATGCATCTGAAATGTTCCCCACTACACCCCCACAGTACTCTTCAGGGAGGATTTCACTTATGGCTAGAAAAATTAAGTACATAGCGGGTAGGCCAAAAACGAATTCTCGTTGACGTGCCCCACATAAGACACTTATTGTCGTTTCTGAATGTTGTCTTTAATGAGAACCGGTCTGAGCTGTTATATGTATCAGTGCTGCTTAGGAAACAAGCATGATCCTCAGGATACTTGACATGCAGTTCATGGTTGCATGAGGCGTATTGTAAATTTTCTTTAGGGTGTATCGGAATAGTTGTAATCTTTTCATATATTTATATCATTAGTCGGCATCCAAAAGAGATATGCTGGATAGCAGTATTCGATCCACTCGATGTCATGCTAAAGTAGTTATGCAGCACGCTATACATACCTGTGCATATGAATATATAAAGAGGGAAATAGTGGACAAAAATCCATCAACGTTGAAGTGAGATGCTGCAGTTGAAGTTCTTTGGGTGAAGTGGAAGGTGAATACGACCTTTGTCTCGAATACAATGAATCCAAACAATCAAATTTATAAGATGCTGTTAACAGCATTGAAAAAAACTCTGACTGCTCACCAGAAGGGATTTAATCTCATCAGATTTGGTGGTAGCCTGTAAATTTCAGCTCAGAACAACTTTTCAGTTCACGTTGTATTCTCATTCAGCCGTCTTTGAACTTCGACAAGAGTAGAGGTGAATTGAAGATGGGCGATTTTTAGGGACTTGAATACGAACCCGAAAATCAATGTGTGTCATGTGTGGTTTTGTGAAACACTTAAGCTACTAAGCACGAATTTACATTCATGGAATTCCATCTTGGCCGGTGTCCATCATTGTAATAAGGTAAAGTATTTTGAAAAGCCTGAAGATAAAGGGGGAGATATTGCCACGATAACCATAAATCACTTTTGGCACTCCAATATGTGCTTAAATTATGTACGCATCACCTAAAGTGCTACTAAAAACGTCCTAAAAAGAGCTAAGGTAGAAGCAACAAATCTGATAGTGAGTAATTCAGCCTTGTGTTCTACGAAATACTTGTGCAACTACTATGTATT